TTATCTTCATCAAAAATTTACTTGCACGTGATATTAAATACAGTGTCTGATTGTATTTGTATTCCATAAGGTCACCTGTTTTGGATTGGGCAGGAATATGAATTTTTTCCAATTGGCTAGCTGTCTTCCAATTTCTTGGTATTTGAAATTTCTTGGTATAGATGTGTGATCGCTTCCAGCACTGCATCAGTTTGTTGAAACATTTCAATTGGTATTCCATCAATTCTGGGAGCCTTGTTTTTTGCTGTTCCTTATGTGAATCTTCAACTTCTTTCTTCAGTACCATCAGTTCTTGGTAATGTGGTATATTTTTAAATGATTGAATATCAGCGAATTCTTTTGACAATGGCTCTGTGTATTCCTACCATCTTCTTTTGATGCTCTCTGCTTCATTCAAGATTTTGCCCATAGAATCCTTCAATACAGAATATAACTAGTTCTAGTAGTTTTTAACTTTTAATTGTGATTTAGGTGAAGGTTTACTGGCTTTCCATTCAACAAATCATACACATTTGTGTGGATGACATCAGTTGCAACCCCAGAATGTTACAATACTTCCCACTTCCTCCCTATGTTTATGATTTCCATTTGTCCTTTCCTATCCCTTTCTGCCTTCTGAGCTTCATTCTTGAGCAGATGCTACTCCTTTGATCTTATATGGCTAATTGCTCTAATGAGTGTATATCTTCCTGGTAGTTATCTTTTGGATAAAAGTTGAGCTATGGGGGGAAAGTTCAATACTAGACCTAAAGGGTGTCAACGGGGCATAGTATTGGGGGATCCACCAGTCTCTATCTGGCCAGTGAGTCCAGACTTTTTAAAAAAATTATTTTGAATTCTGTTGTACATTTTTCTCCCACTGTATTCATGATCTCCTACTGTGATCCCTTTCAGAGCAGTCAGAAATGGTAGCTGTGCACCATTTATATCTTCTGGTATCAGAGGTTTGGAGGCTGGGGTTTCCATGGTCCATTTGTTCTTTGTGTTAATTGTTTCCTTGCACCTTTGATCTTCTTTATTCTTCTTTGCTCATGATGGAAAAGGCTAATAGTTGCATATTAGATGGCTGTTCATAAGCTTTTAAGATTACGCTATTATTTAGCAAAGTAGCATATAGAACATTGTCCTTCTGGCCTGTCTTATACCAGCGGATTTATTGGTATAAGTTCCTTGGTGTTCCTCAGTGATTTATTCCCTCAGGAAATTGTTCACAACTTTGCTACCTGTATCCTTTACTATATTGATGGATATATTTGTAGCACATATAGATACATATGTAGAAATAGCCTGTCTGAAACGTGTATATATTCATAGGTTTTCCATTTGCCTTCCCACTGCTGTTCTTCTTGAGTGTCTTTCCACTCAGTAATAACTTACTGGTATTACTGATTGAGTATTGGGGTGGTTGGTTATGTGCCGTGGAGTCGGTTCTGACTCATAGCGACCCTGTACAGGGTTTCTGAGGCTGTAAATCTTTACAGGAGCAGAAAGCCTCATCTTTCTCCTGCAGAACAGCTGGTAGTTTCGAACTGCTGACCTTGCAGTTCACAACCCAATTCGTAACCACTATGCTACAAGAGCTCCTTTGTATTGGGTATTGGGTATGTATTATTATTTATGTCTGTTGCCTTTAAGTCTTGTGCACCTCCCAGTTTCTTCCTTTGTCTTGATGTTTTTGTGCTGTCCTCCCTTTTACTGACGTCTAGGATTTTCTTGGTTGCAATCTTCATAGAAGCAGACTGTTAGATATTTTATCCATAGTGCTTCTGGGTTCTGGGTATATTAAAATGCCAACATTTAGCATAATGGTCAAGTGCAAACCTTTTTTACCTTTCAATAACTTGCCTATCACAACAGTAGGTTCTTTGTCAATTTAATTTTTAAAGAAGAGCCCCTCCAAAAAACAAAACAAAAAGGAGATATATTATGAAGAAACAGACATGCTGTAGAAAAATTAGACTTTTAGGTCAATACTGCTGCTGCTGCTATGTGCCATTGAGTCACTTCCAACTTATAGCAACCCTGTACAGGGTTTCTGAGGCTGTAAGTCTTTACCGGAGCAGAAAGTCTCATCTTTCTCCCACAGGTATTTGAAGTGCTGACCTTTTGCTTAGCATCCAATGAGTAACCCACTACGGTACCAGGCTCTCATATATTCCCATTTATTATAATCATTATTAACATTTATTTGGTGTTTTTTATGAGCCAAGTACTAATTTAAGTTTGTTTCCTATGCTGATTAATTTAGTGTCAAAACAGTATTTTGAGTTTCATATTGTTACTTTCATTATTTTATGGATGAGGACATTGAAACAGAAAAGTAACTTGTCCATCAATCCTCAGCTACTAAGTAGCAGAAAATAAACTCAGGCAATACACTCTGAAGTGCAGACTTTCTACAGTTATACTTTCTACTTACACATTTTGTAGTGTACAAATCTCAATAGATTCTATTGTCTGTCACGATCAGATTATTAACAACAGAATGAAAGAACTAGAAGGTCATTTGTATTACAGCTATGAGGGGCACAGATGTTAATAAATCTGTGCATTATTTATCACTATGCAAGTGTGTAGAATCCACATTTCTTTTCAATAGTCCATGTTTGTGACATGTCAAAACTTACCATCGATATAATTTCAACTTTCAGAGAAGGAGAATATTGCAAAACACCTTTATAGAAATATTTTGAAGTTAACAGAATTATCCCTGATTAAAAGAGTACATGAAGATCCTGTAGTGTTTCATTTAGAAATAGATTAAATAAATATATATATTTTAATATGTTACTGAAGTATGAATGGCCTTTCAGAATGGAACGAGATGTTTTCAGATTACTGATTATGAGGGACAATTAACATCTTATTGGCCAAAGGAAGACCTTAAGAAGAGATACCCACATTGATTCCAAAATGACTTTGTTGTTGTTAAGGGTCGTCGAGTCAATTCTGACCCATAGCGACCTTGTATAGTGTTTTCAAGGAGCAGCTGGTGAGCTTGAACCACCGACCTTGTGGTTCAAACGGCTTTGTAGTCTGACACATTAGTCTATAGCGCCACACCAGGACTCCAATAAAATGACTTTGTTGTTGTTATGTGCCGTGGAGTCGGTTCCGACTCATAGCGACCCTGTACAGGGTTTCCGAATCTGTAAATCTTTAGGGGAGCAGAAAGCCTCATCTTTCTTCTGTGGAACAGCTGGTAGTTTCGAACTGCTGACCTTGAGGTTCACAGCCCGATTCGTAACCACTATCTTCAAATTCCTTTATGCCTCTTCAGAATGGGGATGATTAACAATATGCTAATTTTAAAACTATAAACAAAAAAAGTTTAAGAAATACCACAAATTCTTCTCAACCCAGTGAAAGTATTTGCTATACATCTGCTTTATGGACATAAACACAGACACAGTCCTCTAAGATACACATGTATAAAAACAATTTGAAAAAGCACAAAACATGTTAAGTCTAATTTTTTTATGGATATGGTTTTTGTTAATTTTATTTTGTTAATAGTATTTTATTTTCTGCTTCCTAAATCCAACTGATTATTGTCAAGTCCATTCAATTCATGTTGTTGTTACTAAATGCTGTCAAGTGGCTCCAACTCATAGCGACCTTGTACAGAGTTTCCGAAGAGTGGCTGATGGGTTTGAAGAGGTGACATTTTGATGTAAACCAACCTTGCAGTCCAACATTATCCTATAGCTCCATGCCAAAGGACAGAATGCAAGTACCCCATAGGACTTCCAAGGCCGTAATCCTAATGGAAGCAGACTGTCTCATGATTCTCCAGCAGAGCAGCAGCTGGTAGATTCGAACCACAAACCTTTTCATTAACAGCAGAATGCTTAATCACTGTGTCATCAGGGCGCTTTCCAGCAAGGCATCCTTTTTAACGTATTTTGAAGAAACAAACACTTCTTGGAAAACATTTTGTTGATACTGCTTTTATTTTCACATAGTTAAAAGCAGCTTGTAATTATAGTGAATACAAAATACAAATACACACACTTTATTGCACATAGAAAATACTTCACATGAACTATTGCACATGACAGAATTAATTAGAGAAGGCACACATTTATTATCAGAGAAGAGTCGTCTTATTCCAGATTTGAACAATACAAAATTTTTCTAAATAGGGATTTGTCACATATTATATTGCACATTTTCCAACACTTTTTATCTGTTTTGCAAGTATTCTTCATCTTCTTTGTCTTATTTTGGGGGAAAATTATGGCTTTTAAGTTTTAAAGCAAAAAAACAAAACAAAACAAAAAAACATTTTACTATCAAAAAAGATCAATCTATATTGAGCATGTGAAAACAAACAAAAATCTAAACCCAAGAGAAACATAATAAATACATGATTTTCCCATTATTTTGGGGAACATAGTTGCAAAGTAACATAACAAACTTCCCTAAAAAGAGAGAAATAATACAAAGCTTAATTTCATAGACATTTATTCACTTTTAAATGTTCTCTATATTTAAGAAATGCATTTCACCTAGTATCTGTACTGCCAATTAATATTCCCTCTGCTTACATTCAATTTTCTTTACTACCACCATCCTACTCTTTCATATAGTGCAAATACATGAAGGAAACTCACTGTTGGTAGTCACTCAACAATAAATAATAACATTAAACCTAATTTTTTGTTTATTTAAAAAAAAAAATATATATATCTGGATGAAAAAAAAATAAAGTGCATTTGCAAAGTTGTATCTATTCATTGCTCTCCTTCTTTGGCATGGTTATCAGTCAACCTATGCTGTTTCCAGAGCATGGAGGGAATATTCCACAATGCAGGTTTTTCTGGAATTTGTCTCCTTTTATTCTGCTGCTCTGCTTGGAAGGAAATTTCCAAAATAATTCAAAGTTTATTGTTGCTTTTCACAATCTCCTTATGGAGAACGTCTGACCATAGAGCAGCATCCAGTGTCATGCATTTCCATGAGTCCCCTGAGAATCCATAAGCATATATGTTTCCTCATTAATTGAAGGGTTTGCTACAAATCCAATGTAAATGCTTTTGGCATGCTATACTGCTGACATCAGTAATATTCAGAAATGGACAGTTGTCAGACTCCGTCAATTTGAGCCTGTCAAACAATAAAGAAATTTAGAATTATTTTCAGGTCATCATTTCTGTTCAGTTACATCAGAAAAAAAATTGGGGTGGTAGTGATCTCTCCTTTTTTGCTTAGTAGAAATGCATGCATGAGGCAAGACTGATAACCAAAAGAGGAAGGAAGGAAGGAAGGAAGGAAGGAAGGAAGGAAGGAAGGAAGGAAGGAAGAAAGAAAGTCATCTGCAGAGACAGTAGAAAATAATTTGAAGGAGTAATGTGTGGAAAAAATATTCAAAGTTGAGAATAAAGAACTCAATTTATTTTGGCTGGCATGTTATCAGAGGAGTGATCTTTTTAAGTTCATAGACTTATGATAAATACTTTCCACACTGAACACACATTCACCATTCATGCAATTTTAAGTTGCTAATGCAATTTTAGGGGGATTTTGGACCTAAAGCACATTAAGAATTTCTTTTCTATAAATCTGCATTTTCATCTCCTTGATACAGCATTATAAAGTTCTTTAGAGATCTAGAAATTTATTCAATTTTAAGAGCTCACTGAACTTTAAAATACTCTATAAATTTTTTAAGATTTAGTTTTATTAGTAAAGGAAATCGATTCAGTATCTTTAATTTGCAGCAAGTTTTCTCTCAAGTTCACAGAAACGTCTTATTTTTGCTGGTGTTGTTAAGGGCTGTCAAACTGGTTCTGATTAATAGCAGAGCTTCTTATTAGCATTGAAAATACGATTATTTATTCCTATTAAGACAAAGCTGAGAAAGGGGAACTCTTTTCCAACATATATCTCACCAATAAAATATAAAAACGAGATTGGATATGTTGGTTCTTCTTTTCTTTTTTCTTGTCAATGAAATTATGCCTGGACTATTTCCAAACAAACTATAATAAGACTATTGCTCACACTAGACTTTGCTAAGAATAAGATTGTTGCTGTGTGCCATAAAATTGCATCTGACTCACGGTGACCCTATAAGAAAGACCCTATAAGACCCTATAAGACCATAGGGTTTCCGAGGTCTCTTGGTGTGGGGCTATAGAATAAGCACCAGAGTGTGAACCACAAGGTCAGCAGTTCAAGTTCACCAGCTGCTCCTCGGAAACCCTGCACAGGGTTGTTAAGAGTTGGAACCGACTCGACGGCACTTAACAACAACAAAGACGATCTTTATGGGGAGTCCTGGTGTGGTGATGTATTATGAACACTGTACAGGAAGTTCGGTTTGAACTGCAAGGTCAGTGTTTCAAACTCACCAGCTACTCCTCAGAAACCCTATAAAGGGTTGCTATGAGTAGGAACTGATTTACGACACTTAACAACAGCAACAATCTTTATGGGAGTAGATCCACAAGCTTTTTCTACCATTTTTCCTTGTTTTTTTGTTCTGACTCATAGAGACCCTGTATAGGGTTTCTGAGGAGCAGCTTATAGGTTTGAACTGCTGACCTTGTGATTAACAGTTCATTGCTTATCCTACAGTGCTACACTAGGAGTTATTTTTTCCCACAGAGACACTCAAACCAAATACCAAACACCAAACGCACTGTCTTGGAGTTTATTTCATCTCATAGTGACCCTGTATAAGGTTTCCAAACTTGCAAATCTTTACAGGGGCAGCAATTCTCTTCTTCCTCTCAGGAACAGACTGTTGGGTTTGAATTGTTGACCTTTTGGTTGGCATTTTAGCATTTATCTTACAGCAAGTTGGAAATGATGATCTTTCAGCTAGTAGCTGAGTGCTTAACAATTGTGCCACCAGGGCCCCTAACATTAGGACTAGAAGCATAAATTGTATGAACTATAATAAAACCTATCCTTAAAAATTCCACAGCCAAGCATACAAACGAGGTTGTCATAGAGAAGAAAACCTTAATAGTGTTTTGGAAGAAGAAAAGGAAACTGGGGAAGATGAGGAGAATTCTAGAGACTTACCAGTTGTTAAATTTGTTGCCATTAAACAATTTCTGAGTCTGACTAGTTTCATTTGTCAATCCAATCCAGTGTTCAGTACTACCCATATAGCGTTTCAGAAAGATCTTGAAGAAAATATAAAGGAAGTATGTGTTAAACAACCCTTTTGGGTCAGTAAATAATAAATTCTATTTCTCAGAAACAGCAATTAGAACCATCAAAAAATAGGATCAACCCATCTGGATCCCTTATCTTTGAAGCTAAGCAATCCAAACAAATTTAAAAGATTAAATTGAACTCTTGTTTTGACCTCAAACTAATCATATGACTTTCTGCACTTTTCTTTCTCTATAGAGGAGATAAGTACAATGTCTTCTTTTAGAAGGAAGCAGAGTAAAATCACAGATTAACTCCATGAAATAAATGCCGTTATTTTATGAAACTGCTTTTGAATACTGTTATCTTACCATCTCCTTTTCAGAGTCCATAAGAGCAAGAGTAGCACCATGTTTGGAGCAAAAGGTTTGGGCTAGGGTCCAGTTGTTTCTCCTAGTAGAAAAATGGTAGCATTTCCTTTGGTATACAACCCAATCATCTGAGCAAGGAGGAGCATGACTGTCTGATGATACTGAGGCAATAAATTGTCCAGGACAATTGTATTGGCCCACTGTGAACAAGAAGATGTTTGTTAGCAACAAAGAAACCAAATATCCATTTCATGCAAATCTAGTTCAAGGAATTCTGGTTTGTGTGTGCTAGGTGATAAAGTTTTAGTCCTGTTGCAGTTCTGTGGGATCAGTACTGGATTTCCAACCACAAAGTTGGCAGTCCAAACTCACCAGCCACACCTTGGAAACCTTTAAAGGGTTGCTGAGTCCAAACAAATTCAATGGCACTTAACAACAACATGTGAAAAAGTAGAGGATGAAAACAAAGAGGGAGTATTCTAAGAAGAATAAGAAGAAAGCAGATTTTCACCTCATTCGATCTTCTATTGTATCTAATCATCATTGTAGAGGATATGAGATAAAAGGAATGTCTCTGTCAGAAAGTGGAAAGTATACAGGAAAACCCAGAAAATAGTCTTTGAATTAGAAAACATAAAGTACATTATAAATCCCAAGTAAGGTTTTGAGTCTCATACTGAGTAAGAAGTTAATAATGCACACAATAAATTGAGAGAGGAATTTATAGGGAAGTTCTTTGAAATCCAGAAGAGTTTGTGACTAGGGTTGTTTCATAAAAATTTTAAATTTCGTGTTTGTTAAAGATACAAATATATCTTCATATAGGTGTATGCATTGGATGCCATGTCACCGCTGGCTCTCTCAGAACTTCTAATTATAATTTTAATTATGCATCTATAATTTTGTGACTTTTTAGATAAAAGACAAAAAGTCCAATTCCTCTTAAATCTGTGGCTTAGATATTATTTTTTCCACCAATAATGAATATGAAGCCCACAATTTTCCTAACTAAATGTCATTTATTTAAAATTGAAAGAAGCTCCCTTCATTCCACATTTAAATGTATGCTTACATATAATTATCTCATATTATTGTTGCTGTGTGCTGTCAAGTTGGTTCTGCCTCATAGCAACCCTATACAGGATTTCTGAGACTGTAAATCTTTTCAGGAGCAGAAAAGCTCATCTTTCTATGGCCAAGGGGCTGGTGGGTTTAAACTGTTGACCTTCTGGGTTGCAGTCTAGTGCTTATCCTACAGAGCCACCATGATCGTGTATATATAATAGACACTTCTAATATTCATTTTATAAGTTCTAGAAAATTAAAAAGTATTACATTGATCATCAAAGAAACATGGGATCATATTTAGAATTGATTTGGAAATTAGCCAGATATGGGATGTGTAATGATCCTAATTGAACCAGAATTTCTGACTAACTAGACTAAGTCAATTACTATTGATTTCAACTGGGAATGCAAATTACAACTGAGAGGCTCTGAATGAACTCATAACATGTTGACTCACCTGATAAAGCAATGAGAGCTATGATTAAAATGGTGATGAAAGCCACACTCATTACAGCACATGGAATAGGAACTTGAAGTGACCCTTCATGATGTGTTGCAAAATGGGAGCTAGTGTCATTACCTGAAAAGCAGAAAGTTGATGACGCAGTCAGACAGATTGCAGAAGTAAGAATGGGACATTTAATAGTCTTTCAGTCAGTTAAATACAAAAGTATTTCCCCAATATCCTTGCACCAAATCTATAAATTATTTTTTTCAAAATTTTAATGAATCTGGAGTTTGTTGGTAGCTAGAAGGGAAATCATCCAGGAATAATATTGAAACCCTAAAATATCTTCCCGGTATATGAACTTAGCAGCTATACATATCCTGTTTATAGTAACTTTATTGTTTTAACCTGAACATTTATTACCCAAGAATACATATAAAAAGAACATCTAGGTACAATTTCTAAACTTCTCTGTAGTACCTTGCTGTTTGAGATGATGTATATGAGCATAAATGTGGATAATAAACTACAGTGATATAATATAAAATATTTAATTTATATATAGAAATTCTACAACTAGAATTACTAAAAATGAATAGATTGACTATATCTATAGTTGGTGAAGATAGGGAACAATCGAAAATTTTTGATACAATTGATGGGAGTGTAAAATGGAAATACATTTAGGAAAACTGTCTCTTATGAAATCAAATATAAGCCTACACTATGATCCTACAGTTCTATGAGTTTCCTCAAGAGAAATGAAAGCATGTGTGCAAAAAGTTTTGTATATGAATGTTCATAGCAACTTTATTCATGCAGCCAAATCCCAGAAATAAGCCAATTATCCATCAATGGGAAACTGGATAAACAAATGATGGCATATCCATATTTAGGGATTCTGCTTAGCAATTTAAAAACAAAAGAGGGGGAAGAAGGATAATGGACATTTGCAACCACTTGGATAAATATAAAAAAAAATAAGATAAAAATTTAAAATCTGCTTACAAAATACTGCATACTATGGTCAGGATGATAACTATGCCAATGAAATGATTGATGATGGAATGAATGTAAAGCTGTTGTTCTCCCATGTAGACTATCACACAATTCAAAAAAAATACTGCATACTTTATAATTCCATTCATATGAATTCAATAAGCAAGACTAAGCTTATTGTTGTTGTTAAGTTACTTTGAGTCAGTTCTGACTTATAGCCACCCTGTGTAGGGTTTCTGAGGAGAAGCTGGTAGGTTTGAATCACTGACCTTTTGATTAGCAGTCCAGTGCTTATCCTACCGAACCACACTAGGACCCCAAAACTAATCTATAGTGATAAAAATCAGGAGTTGTTACTTTTATGTGTGTGGGAAGTGCAATTTAATCAGAAAAGGGCACAGGGGAACATTCCAAGATGATGGCAAGACTAAATGTTAATTAGAGCTGCAATTATATAACTGACAAAAGTCCTTAAACTATACATTCATGAATTGTGCATTCATTATATGTAAATTGTACCTCAATTAAAATGAAATTATAATGAAATTATAATTTTTGAATGAACAACCAAGTATTTGAATTTTCCAAGGGAAGTTAAAATAATAAATAAAACAATTTTATAGACTAAATATTAGATTCTGGTATGGCGCTGTGGGTTAATGCACTGGACTGCAAGGTTGGTTTGAGCCACAAGGTTCAAGCTCACCAGTTGCTCCTTGGAAACCCTATACAGGGTCGCTAAGGATTGAAACTGATTCTATGGCACTTAACAACAACAAATGACGAAATAAATTCAAAATTTTATTTCATTCTTAAGAAAACTTTCTGTAGAAGAATTTGGAATACAAATATAATCTTTGTTTTGTAATGATGGTTCTTAGTTGCAAAAAAGAGATATTCATTTTAGAATATAAGTATTTAAGAAAGGAGAGAGCCTCATTTTGTGATGTATTTTGACTTTGGTATTTGCTAGGATGAGCTATAAGGATTTAAAAAAATTCTAACCTCTCAAAATATATAGAAAATATACAGAAAAATATAATTATGTATTATGTTCTCAAACTGAAATATATTATTTGAATAGCATTGTAATGACAATCAAAATTGCCTGAAAATTCAGAAACATTCATGTTCTAAAAAGGGATGACTTTCATAACTAAAAGCCATGTCTACATAGGACATGTCTTATATCTATTAAACTGAATGAAGTGGTATTATTTTCATAGTAAATTATTACATACTGGGTTCTGACATCATATTTTGCTTCTTCTAAGGTTTGTTTTCCCAGCATAGATCTGCATTCTGATTTTGCAAGAAAAGTTTTTGCTTCACTCCTATCTAGTCCTATCACCAGAAACAGCCTTTGCTAGGCAGAGTGTCAAGTTCAGAACTCTGTCTAGTTTCACTTCTTAGCATGTGAAATTCACTCATGATGAAACAGAGCAGCTCTGTTTCTCAGGAAGTACTCACTCAGCCAAATACATGTGCTCATCAGAACCTAACTCAGCCCATTGACTCACCCAGTGGGTAAGCTATGGAGACGATACCCAGATGGCACTTTATACCCATTAGTGATGGAAGTAGGTAACCCTAGGTGGTGCACATACTTAAGCATTTGGCTGCCCACCTAAAGGTGTCTTAGAAGAAAAGATAGGCAATCTACTCTTGAAATATCACAGTTTTTGAGAACTCTACTGAGCATAGTTCTACTCTAAAAGTGAATATGATCACTATAGGTCAGACTTGACTTGACTGCAACGGGTTTGATTTTCTACCCACAGTTTGATTTATCACCTAGGTGACAAAACATTCTTCTCAAGGCAAGCTTCCTTTCTGATTACAGGTTTTGTTTATTAGTGGAGAAGTTAAAAATAAACCCACTATTTTCTACCAAAACACCCAACGATGATGGCCAATGAATGTTGATATTAAGAAAGCAACTACAAGAGCAGTGTAAACTAATTACTCAACCAAACCTTTGGATATTTTTAGCAAAGTTAAAAATTGCTGCATTGTTTTTCTTTCAACTATGCTCTTTCTCTACTTATTGAATAGTTTTATTGTTATCAACTTTTTTCTTTTTGGAAGCTCAGCTGAGCTATAAAGTTATGGTTCACCTGATTCCCTAAAAACTGAATGCCTGGCTCTTGTCAACCAAGCTCGAATTTGTGTTCTTAGGCAGAGGGCAGGTTTATCAGGAGTAATTAATATTCTTCTAGAACAAACCAGTCACAATACACTCAAGAAACAATCCCTTCTAGATTGCTCTGTGTTGGTTTCTTCTAACACATCCTTTTATTTCTAAATAACTCTTTCTTATAAGTAAACACTAATTCCTAAATTCTAGTGTTTGGGGGTACCTCATTTATTAGGGAGGGGAAAGGATGTTAAAAATTAAGAATCTGCACAGGAAAAAGGTACAGAGAAACAGTGGGAACAAGTTCTGATAAATGGAAATAGAATAGATTTGTTGGTGGGATCAATGGATAGAAAAGAGGAAAAGCTAAGATTATATTACAATTAAAATATAGAAATCTATAAACATGTCTGACTCATACAGAACTTGAAGCTAGTGTTTGGAAGAAAGAAATAGCAGATGAAACAAAGGGAAAGAGACCCATAAAGAATACTAAAGCAGAGGACTTAACTTCTAAGAAGTCTTTCATGGCATTCTCTTAACAAATTACCACTTGGCAATATAAATGCCTAGATATTTATATAGGCATTCTTTCAAAGTTTGTAAGCTTGCATTTTTCTAGCAGCTGATGGATACTGTCATGAGAACATATAGTGAAGCACACGGAAAACAGACAAATGATACAGGGAGAACAATCAAAGATGTATTTGCTTATTTGGAAAACAGAATTTTCCAGGGGATGCTCTCTGGAGTATATACAGCTGCCTATGGAAAAATGATGTAGAGGGTACTAGACTAGAACATATTCATTTTCCAAAAAAACTAAGATTATGTAAACTGAAACAAAGAAAAAGATCTTTAAAGCTCTCAAATTCACCTTTTTGTGTACCTCTCAAATCTCAATGACCCTTCCCTCTCTTTTTATCCAGACTGAAACAGGACCTAAGTTCTCCAAAAAACAAAACCCATTTAACTATGTACCATTATATATGAGGGGACTTCCAAAAGTTCATGGGACAATGGACTGAAAAGGTAACAGATTGTACAAAGAATTAGATCTGACTTACTTTGTTTTCCTGTCTCCAGATGCGAGGAGCTGTTCTCTGTCATGGAACAATCTTCAGAATTCATTTCCAATTTGCCCAAAATTCGCTGGCTAGTCTTAGGTGAGTTAATTTGCAGTGAAAGTATTTGCTGGAGCTCTTCTTCAGTCTGGGTCTCTGAGGAGTCTCAGCTCTTAAATTCCGTTATGCTGTCTCCGCCCCTTTCCTCTTACCATCCTACTTGCTCAAATACGCCTGTTTTTTTTAATTTACACTTCAGTGGTCCAGACAATTTACAGTGTATTGTTGTGGTGAGATATGGGCTTTCCCTACTGTCTGAAATGTGCTTTCTCACAATTGCAGGTGTAGCATGAGGGGCAAGTGGGATTTTCCTAAAAACTGACGTGATGGTGATGGTGGTTGTGTGCCTTTGAATTCGTTCTGACACATAGCTATACTGTATAGGGTGTCTGAAGTGTGAATTTAAAAAAAAAATGTTTTATTGTGAATTATGTGATACTTTACATGGGAGAACATTAGTTTTACATTCCTCCTAAAATATCATCTCATTGCCATGGTTCCAATCCCCTCCATGCATCATCAACCAACCAAAGGGTATACCCTGCAAGCTTGCCTCCCCGTGGGTCCTCAGCACACAGCCCCTCTCACTCTCTGGGTCTGAAGTCCCCAGCCGCACCATCTCTCCACGTCATTGTCTCTGCCTCCATCTCTGGAGTCAGTGCTTCTCTGGGTAGGGTCCTGTTCTCCACTCTTCGCCCTCAATGGTCCCAGGGACCTCCGCTCCTGGACTGCAAAGTTAATCACTCCCCTCCTTGCTACAAAACATCTACCTTTACATTTCCAACCCTAACAAACAGTCCTGACAACAATTATTCACTATTGTATTACAAGAGACCTATCCGCATTTCCTTTCATCAGCCCCACCCAGACAGATTGGATACTACTCAGTGGAGAGTTTACTTTCCTCTGCGCCCTCTGGATCTAAGTTCCAAATGTGAGGGCTCGAATTCAAGGAATACAGACTACCAAACATTTTGAAAACTGCACAAGCAAAAGTAGAGAAAATAGTATGATTGGGACATACTAAAAATTTAAAACTTATGTGCATCAAAAGATTTCACCAGAAGAGTAAAAAGGGAACCCACAGAATGGGAAAAAATACTTTGCAAGAAACATCAGACAAAGGACTCATTTCTAAAATATATAGGAAACTACAACACCTCTACAAGAAAAAGACAAATAACCCAACTAAAAAATGGACACAGGACATGAACAGACACTTCACCAAAGAGGAGATCTGGGCAGCCAACAAATATAATAATAAAAAAAGAATGGGTGGGAGGTAGGGATCAAAGTATTATTCTTGTTAATAATTATTAAGCCCAATATTTATTTTATTATTAATATCAATTTTTTTAGAGTGAAAACATTCTGCTTTCAGAATAAAGTCTAGATGAAAATGTTATACTTGTGCAGGTTTGGAATTATGATTTACAGTGGATTAGTGAGGCTATCAGGTGAATGTGTTTACCTAAGGCACAAGAGGTACATGTTAGTTCACAAGAGTCTCTTTGCTTCCATTTTCTTTTTCACTGAATTTTATATTATGCTTTTCATATATCAGCCAGAAGGATTGTTCCATCATAAAATCATGCTATTTTGTTGAGATTTCCAGCTCTCCTTCCTCTTCACTCTCAATGGATTCTTATAAAAATTATTATTAAATCCAAAGACCTTATTATACTTGAAAAGACGTTATTCATGATCTGGCTCTTGGCTACCTCTCCTACAACTCTCTCCATTAGTCATTGCGCTCTCCAACAGTAACCTCTTTGCTGTTGCACAAAATTGGCAGGCATACTTCCACTACAGGGTCTTTGCACTTTCTCTAGAAAAATCTTCCTCTGATTATTGTCATGTCTTACTCAATCCTTTAACTGAGTCACCTGCTAAGAGAGGTCTTTATTTGTCATCACATTTAAACTAAAACTAACACTTTATCCACCTTTAACTTTCTCTATAACAGTTGTCAATAACTGATGTTCTGTCATTGTTGATAATATACTTTCCTTTCTAGAATGTGAGTTACTTGGTGGTAAGGACATTGTCAGATCTGTCTCTTACATGTTTCTAGCATCTGACATAGTAACTGGACATCATACTTGGTAAAATAAAGAGTCAGTGATAAATAGAAGACCCTAAACAAGTTGATTGACATCATAGCTGCAACAATGGGATCAACATTCTTATTATTGTAAGGATGACAGAGAGACAGGTAAGGTTTTGTTCTATTATACATAGGGTCACTAAGAGTTGGAATTGACTCATTGATATCTAACAGTAGTATGAACTCAATATACATTTATTTATTGAATGACTGATTGAATGAATGAATGTGAGTTAATAAAAAAACTTTATGTAGATTATAAAAGTTCCAAAATTTATGAAAATACTAAGAATGCTTGTGCAATTTTAGGATTGAAAATGTGACTTTAGACTGTCAAAAGATACCAAGTGTGCACTTGGCTATTGCTGATGAATAATGAAGGATGAGGTTATTTTGGTACATAAATGAAAATAACAGAATCATGCTTAGTATTTTTATTAATTTCTTTGGGTTAAAGGGAATCTGTATTTTAAATGTTTAAATTCTATAGTTTGAAGCTACAGGTTAAAATCCAGACTGTGCTATATCTACTATGTTATGAAGAATGTATGAGAAATTATCATTGTTATAAAGCTGAAACATTGCATGAACTCTTTCAGGTTGATGAGATATAAATAGAAAGAAAATGTCATTAAACTGATAATTTTTCGATGTACTTTTCTATATGCAAAGGAAGACTTTTATACAAGTGATTGGACTAATATAAAAATCATAGTCAAGTTACTTATGTAACTTTTCCTCTCTGATCATTCTATATAAAGGGGGAAATCTACCCTTGGCTGGATATGAACTTTCTTTGAAGTTTGAACATTCAAGAACAATTAGGAAGGTTGGCATTTTGAGAAGCAACCATGAAACACCGTTTATAGCTAGATATAGATGATCACCTGTAGCAATTTCTTTTTCATTCTGTTGTAATCCAACTACCAAACCCAAACCCAAATCATTTGCCATCAAATACATTTGAATTCATAGTGGCTTGAGTGCAGAGTAGAATTTTCTTTCAAAGGATTTTCAGTGGTTGTGACCTATCGGAAGCATATCACCAGACCTTTCTTTCAAGATTCCTCTAGGTGAGTTCTAACCATCAATGTATCAATTTGTAACCAAGTAGTTAATGGTTAACACAACACAGGGATTCTACTGACATCAATTTTGTTCCTTGAAGAAACTAAGCCATTTTAATTTTATAGGCTGTGCTCTTCCTTTTTTTTTTTTTTTTCTGCTCTCAAGTTTGACTCTTTTCATTTATATTTTACCTTGCATGTTGCCTTCTCAACAAGACCTTTACCCGTCACCTGTCTAAATCATGTATATTTAAGTTACTATTACCTCACTCTCTTTCTTCTGCTTCATAGGCCATATCACTATCTGAAATTCCACTTATTTATAAACTTTTTGTCATTACTATTATCTATTTCACAGTAAAAACAGTCCAAGAAAGCCCAAATATAATCTGGAACACATCCCACCTGAATTTAGAGATCCCTCAAGAACAGATTTCTTGTATTAGACACTAATGATTGAAGACCAGAAAAACTCAGCATTTCTCAAGATTAAAGAACAAAAGAACAACAACAACAACAACAAAAAAGACTTGGGTTGTAGTATTGAAGAACTTCTGGTGTGGCATTGGAGGATAAGGGCTGGACTGCTAACCCCAAGTTCGCCAGGTCAAAGCCACTAGCAACTCCTCAGAAATACTATACAGGATCACTATGAGACAGAATCAACTCAAAAGGACTTAACAACAACAGTAGCAGAAACATATTGAATTATGCAGGAAACATCAAAAGAAGATGGAAGGAATACACAGAGTTTCTGTACCAAAAATAATGGGTACAAAAATTAACCATTTCATTCCTTGTACTGAAAGAAGTACAAGCTGCCCTGAAGCCATTGGTGAAAAACAAAGTTCCAAGAATCGACAGATTACAAGTTGAAATCTTTCAACAACCTGATGCAGCATTGATGGCACTCACTTTTCCATGCCAACAAATTTGGATGACAGTTACCTGGCCAACTGATTGGAACAGATCCATATTTGTACCCATTTCAAAGAAAGGTGACTAAGTGGAATTCAGAAAACAGTAAACAATATCAGTTTAATACCACCTTCAAGTAACATTTTGCTGAAGATATTTCAAAAAGGATCGCAATAGTTGACAGCAATCTGCCAGCAATTTAAGCTGGATCAGAAGAAGATGTGGAAGGAGGGAAATCATTGTTGATGTCAGATGAATGTTGAATAGAAGCACAGAATACCAGAAAGATGTTTGCTTGTGCTTTATTGATTTTTGCAAAGACTTTTGACTGTGTGAATCATAACAAAAGATAGATAACATTGTGAAGATTGGTAATTCCTGAACATTTCCTGTGCTCAAGAGAAGCCTGTACATAGACAAAGAGGCAGCTTTTTGAACAGAACAAGGGAATAATGAATATGTTAAAATTAGGAAAGGTTTATATCAGTGATGTATTCTTTCACTGTGTTTCTCCAATCTGTATGCAGAACAAAGAAATCGAGAAGTTGAATTTTATGAAGAAGAATGTGGCATCAGGATTGGAGGAATAGTCATTAGTAACATGTGACATGCATATGACACAACCATCCTTGGTGGAAGTAAAGAGGACTTGAAATGACAACTGATCAAAATCAAAGATGATAGCCTTCATTTTAGAGTGCAACTCAATGTAGAGGAAATGAAAATTTTCAAACTGGAACTATAAATAACATCATGATAAACAGAAAAAAAGATTGATGTTGTCAAAGACTTCATTTTGCTTGGATCCACAATCAATGCTCTTGGAAACAGCAACCAAGAAATCAAAGGAAATTTTGCAGTAGGTAAATCTGCAGCACACAACCTCTTTAAAATTTTTAAGAGCAAAGAAGTCAC